TAGATGTTTTTCAAGAAACTTCATTTTCTTTTTCTAAAAGAATATCAGTTTACTTAAAATTGTAATATAATACATATGTAATTCAACATTTAAGTTTTTAATGAATTTTAGTTTATTCGGCTCGATTCGGTTATACTAAAATCGATTTCAAATGTATTGGTTATTTTAGTTTTAAAATGATGAAACTAATCGGGTTATATACACGTTTTGGTTTAAGCATTTCGCGCGGTTCGAATTTGGTTTATATGCGCCTACCAACTCTTAGAGGATACAATGTAAATAATGTCACCTTCGGTTGTATATTTTGCAAGCTTGGAACAGCAGAAGAAAGGTGTATAGTAAACGTGTGCCAACCAGGGAACAACTTGCTAGCAGCCGGCTACTGTATGTACTCGAGCTCGGTCATCTTTGTTCTTACTTTAGGCAAAGGCGTTTTCGCCTTCACCCTCGACCCAATGTACGGTGAGTTCGTCCTCACACAAGAGAACATCGAGATCCCGAAAGCCGGGAAAATATACTCATTCAACGAAGGGAACTACCAAATGTGGGACGAGAACTTGAAGAAGTACATTGATGATCTCAAGGACCCTGGTCCAAGTGGAAAGCCTTACTCAGCAAGGTACATTGGAAGTTTGGTCGGGGATTTTCACAGGACTTTGTTGTACGGTGGGATTTACGGCTACCCTCGCGACCAGAAGAGCAAAAACGGAAAGCTTAGGCTTTTGTATGAGTGCGCACCGATGAGCTTCATTGTTGAACAAGCCGGAGGAAAAGGATCAGATGGACACCAGAGAGTACTAGATATTCTACCGACCGAGGTAACTTACTACTAAAGTTATATAGAATTTCGGTTCGGTTTTGTTTTGATTTCAACCTTACTACTAATTTTTACATCCCGAATTTGGTGTTATCATCTTTTAATTATTTTTTCTTTGGGGACACCTGACAGGTACATCAGAGAATTCCACTTTACATTGGAAGCAAAGACGAAGTGGAGAAATTGGAGAAGTATTTGGCTTGATTGATGTACCGAACATAAGCCATTTTAATTTCTATTGTAAGCCAATTTCTGACTACATGGTACATGCAACTAGATGCATAAATGGTGAAAGTCCTATTTTGTTGTCGATATTAATAGAGAGAATTCATCTGTCAAATTATAGAGCCAAAACCAAAGTTTATTTTATACAACCTATATCTTCCCCTTCCTAGTCTCATCTTTGCAACAATGAGTCCTTGTCAGAAATTAATACCCCTTCCTATGTCAAGTACGATATGTGGTACGGTTAATTTGGATATCCGAATTCTCACAATATCAAATTAAGGGATTGATTCAAACGGAACATTTCAATTAATGTTATCCAAAAAGATAGTTCTAATCGGAGATGTGGGTGATCCGGCTCAATGAAATGACATAACTCAAGCAAAGAAAAAAAAAACCATCAATAACAAAAGCATGGAAAGAAACACAAGAATTTCGAATTACAAAAAACAATTGAGACCCAAATCAGAAGATGAAAAAGAAAAAAAACAATAGACCTCGAGCTGAGATCACTTAAAACTATATTATTACTAAATCTCTCTCATTATAACCTCACAAGTCTTCTCAAGAACAATATATATAACTTATACCTGTATCGATAAGATCTCAAGTCATCTCGTATGTCTTTCTTACAAAGGCCTAGTATGTCGTCCTTTTGCCCGGCCGCATAGATGCGAGTTCTTCGGGATAGGAAACTCGTCTCTCAAAGAAGTTGATGCTGTGTAGACACGCATGTAAAGCTGTTGTCCCAAGTACTGTCTAGCCCAAAACTCAGATCTTAGGTTCCACATTCCTACGTTGTCCAATGCAATGTAAATGGCTGTCCATGATTTTGGGTACACCTAAATCCCCAAATATAGATAATTTTTGTAATTAGAACAATAAAAAAAAACAATGTGTAGATTGATGAAGACGAAGAATGCCTCACTTGGACAGTGCTACGCGAAACTCCATCACGGAGATTGTACCCATTTCTGCTCGATGTCGTCCATTGTCCACCATCCATCCTGCATTTGATCCAATCACAACACACTTTGTCAAACTTTTTACATTTTTTCACCAATTTTCAGCAACATGCATGCATTTTGCGGATTTGAATTCAGATGATGACACTAGCACAAACTGTTAGGCTACATGTCCGCAGCTAAGCTGATTAACACAGACAATACCATATGAAAGAGTGTTACGAAAAATATACCCGACAACCCAGAAGGAGTAACCATTGAGATGATAACTTTGGACGATATCTTCTTTGTTCTCGAATACAATCTCGATAAAGGTTCGATAGTCAACTTGCAAAACAGAGGTGTCAAGGTATAAACCTCCACCAGTGGGTTTGTCCGAGATGCTATTGACCTTATAGACACCACTTATCTTGAAGTAGTCGGCCAGTTTTAAAGGCGTGTCCGCAGGCACAAATGACACACTATTGACACCGTATCTTTGCTTCCCATTAATCTGTCCCGCTGAACTACCGAACACAATAGTCCTAGCGAGCGGTACTAGACCATAATGGTACGAGCCTTGCGGATTTGGTCTTGGTCCACTTGCTGTCAAGTTGGTTCTACAAATAAAAAACATTTTACCAAATTCATAACCATTGGATTTTTAAATTCACTATGGAGCTTTAAAACACTTAATTAGCGACCTATGCAAGAAAGAGTACCTAATGGCACGTGCTTGGTTCAAGGACCAGTCGACCTGAATGGTGGGACCCCAAGGGAGTCGACCAGAAGCTGAGGAAGACGAGCCACTGTAGCGGAGAACACCAGTAGATGTTATGATTTTATCAGTGAACCGAGAGGAAACAACCACGTAGTAGTCACGAGCAGATTGGTCAGCAGTAATGAGAACAGAGTAAGATTGGCCAACATGAACATCGAGTTCAGAAAACAAGTTTTGAAGTGTGTGCGTTCCTTCGACTTCCACAAGCTTCATTTTATGGTCTTGGATTCTGATGTTTAGAGAATTTTGTAATCCAACGTTTGATATCCTTAATCTATATGTTTTTCCTATTAACATCCGCCAACAAAAAAGAGTTGTAGTTAATAGAAATGTTGGACTTTGCAAAAGTTAGGAAACAGACATGAAAGATGAAATGCAAACAAACCTTGCTCAACGTTTATGGTAGCACCTTGGCTACGACCATTGATAAGAATACCATCAGGGGAAGGTAACTTCTTTCCTTTATCAAGACGAGACTTCAAGTCCTGAGGAACATAAAACAAAACATTTTGAGCTTTTTTTTGTACTTAAAAGTAAATACTTTAAATCATTACAAAATTTGCGTTTGCATGAGCTTTAGGGGTCTCCTGAAAGAAAATTGCTAGATTTTGACTTTTTATTGTTAGATCGACTTTGGTTTTCCAACTTTGGAGTCGACCATTGGTTAAAAGACTTGTGTGACATATGATCATTTTCTGGACCGATTGGTATATTAGATTTCAAACGCTTAAGAAGACATATTACCGTGTGATTAGACTTGTACCAATCTCCGATTAGGACAGTGTAATCTCCTGCCGGGTCGGCGAATGGAACCGGAATTCCGGGACGGCTAAGGATTCTGATTCCACCGAATCCACCGGCGGCCTTGTGAAAGGCAAGTGATGGGAAGTAATAGAAGCTTCCAATTTGGTCTTTCATTTGCAAAATGTATGTGTAGTTGCTTCTTGGTGGAATTGGACATGTTGTTCCGTACATTCCATCCACATACGAATTTCTCCTGTTTTGTACTCCGTTCCTGCTCATCCAATTTCTTCAACTATTAAATAACAATGACTACACATAACTACCAATTTCTTCAACTATTAAATTATTTTGTTAAATTTTCCCGCTAAAAGACTTTTACTGTTTTACTTTCCCAAATCGCTTTTACTTTTCCATTCGAACCAATTATGTTGTTCGTTAAAACTTAAAAGCGTTATAAATAAATTAAATTAAGACCATGTGCATGATATAAAAATGAAATCTTTAATGACCCTTTGTGATTGGTTAATTGATAGTGTAATGATGAACATGGCCTAGTTAGTGGATATGCATGGGACCCTTGAAAAAGACAACGTAAATTCAAAGACATTCTATTGCCGCCGACATGGTTCACCGAAAGGGGTGGTTTAGGTTGAAGACAGCTAATAAATTGAAGAGACACATGGCAAAATTTGGAAAACATTAGGTACTATCATTTACCATTAATCATCTATCATTATCAAAACAAACATATAAACATAATTATGAGACCAAGACATACATGCATAATGGTTTGTACGATAATAATGTTTGTGTTATTGTCGCTATCGTGTTATCAATTCAAATTCGATAGAGAATATGTAAATCGTTGTCGGAATTTTTTCATCCCGGCTGATAGCAAATCTGTGATTAGGAAAATGTTTTAATAGTCCTAATTGAATTACAGATGTATGCCATAAATAATTGATGGACCATTTCCACTTGCCCTATGCCTACGTACATTTATCACCTTCACATGCTTTGCTTTCGTAATAGCACACTTTTCCAAAAATATTTTATCTATGAGAAAGCGGCAATTCAGCCAGTAATTTTTTGTTGTTGTTTCTGTATCTATCTTTCATGAATATTCTTTCTACTCGTGATTTACCAATTATACATCACATGTCTGTATGACTATAAATCCCTAAAATTGACCTATTATTTACACAGATCTAAATAATATTGTGGAAAATTAATTCAG